GGGGAAAATATCTAAGCTCCTAATAGTTTTCCCCTAAACTAGCTCCTCTCTCAATATTTGTCATATCAGTAGGTAGTAACTACATTATTCCAGGTGATCAGAACAAAAACCTGGAGTAATTGTTGACCTTTTCCTTTCTCTCACACCTCACCTTTAATCTATTAAATTCTATCTTCTTTAAGTTTCAAAGTATATCTAGAATATTACAATTTCTCACCGTCCCCTCTGCTGGCATAAACACATCTAGATTATTACAATAGGCTCCAAATTGATCATATTTCTTCCTTTGACCCTTTCAGTCTACTTTTTAGTAGGTAATCCCAAGTTATCTTCTACTTGACATCACTTTCCAGTCAGTGTAACTGTTTCCTAAAGTCTTTTCAATACCTAAGAACCTTGCCTTATTGGTCCCATTTGCCCCTTTGACTTTGTTTCCACCAAATTCACTATTTTTCAACCATGCTGGTTTATCCAAAATTTTTCAAACTTGCCAAGAATACTCATAAATCAGGGCCTTTGCAGATGAGTTCTTCCCGAACTATCTACAGTACAAGGTTTATTTCCTTTAAGTTTTTACTCTTTTGCTCATGGAGACATTTCCTGGCCACACTATCTAACAGTGACCACCCCATCCCTGCTAATACTTCCTATCCTCTTTCTCCAGTTTTCTCCTTAGCATGCATCATAATCAAACCAAGAATGTCTTACTTATCATGGGTCTATCTCTTTCAGCCAGTTGAAGTATAAGCCCCATGAAAGCAGAGATTTCTCTTTTGTTTATGGCTTTCTCCTAGATGCTTAGAATAATTCCTGGCACATACTCAAGAATTATTCACTGATTATATCTTAACTACATTTCCAACTTCAACAACTGTCCAAATATTTCATTCATAGCATATATTAACAAGTTCAAGTACATCGAAGATTTGGGAAATCTTTTCACAGATGGCTCAAATTTCAGCTGTATCTTCAGGAACACTTGGGCATTTGCAAGGCAGGTAATGTGATAGAAGCGCATTCCCGGTCAGAAGGATCATGGGACATTTCATGGTGCCCTGGAAAGATTGTGAATGAGGAATACAACATGTCAAGAAATGAGGCCAGAAAAATCTCCTGGGAAGATTCTGAATGACCTTGAATTCTATGTTAAATATCTTGAACATTACCCTCCACAGTATAAAAAAAAACATAGAAATGTTTTGATTCAGTAAAATTACTTGTTACATTGATTATAGAAAGAAAATATTTGTGGAATTTATGGAAAATGCATTTTGGAGATAACAGATGAGAGGTTACAAGATCTATTAGAAACTGTAGTTATCTAAACAGTGGAAGATAAATTGGCACAGAAACAATAGATTGAAGAGGTTAGGAGGAATAAGTCACAAGTATGAAGACTTCCAAGAAGTTTGGTGGTGAGTGAAAGGAAAAAAATGGGTGCGGTGTCCAGTTAGTGACAGAATGATGAAATGGTATCTGTAGAATGGAGGCGAATTCAGGATATTGTAAGCTAAGCAAAGGAGCAAGTACAAATGAAGCAAATAAAACTGTAAGAGGAAAAGGGGATAAACGTATAGGTAAGTGCTTAGAGGATGAGAGAGAAGCAGGTGGACCCACATCTCATAGAGAAGCTACTCATAAAACAGTTACTGGAGAGCCACAGAAATGAACAAGCATGGTTGTCTGATTTTCACACTGTCAAAAGTTAAAAGCAATGGAAAACTGTGGCTTCTAAAGGCAAGTAGTCCTGATTGTAAAGGGAAATTAAAGTGTTTACTAAGTATCCACCAAGTGTCAGGCCAACTTAAACAGCAAATATGTAAAGATGAAAAGCCAGATTTCTTCTGCTCCAGAGGACAAAGTGATTTAAATAATTCCATAAAAACAAGATGATTGCTAAGCAGAAGCAAAGGAGACATAGAAATCAGAAACAGATTTCAAAAGGGCAGTTTCATGAAACATAATCCTATGGGGGAAACAGCTTTAAGCTCTTAAATACCATGTGTAATAATTGGTTTTCTTTAGTTTTAAGAATGCAGTCACACTGTAGCAAATTTCACAAAGATTTCTATGGAAACTTAGGAATTTTAATAACTTGATGCCTAAACATTAATGCTTTGGTTAACCAGAATATGTGGTTTTCCAAAATGATTCATTTTTCAATAATTACATGCATCTAGAAACTAACATTCTCTCCAAAGATCTCAAATTGGCAGCACTTGGGCAAAATCTAACTGCGCATGGGTTCTGTCTTCAGACACAATATTTTAAAATAGTTTTAACGTATTGACAATCAATATACAAAAATGTTCTGAATAAATAATAAGACACTTAGACTAGCCTAAAAAGTGGAAGATTTGGCAACAATGGGGCATATATATTACATGTCAAAATTGACTGGAGCTGAGTATTTCCAGGCTTGCACTTTCAGGAAGACCACATTACAGTCCCTGTGATACATTCTTTTTCTTAAACCTAGGCCTACTTCAGGAAATTACGTTACCTGCCTGGTTATTATAGCCATTTCCATTCTGTGATTTCTGAAAAAGTAGGTGCCATGTAGATACCAATTCACTTTACATAAATTATTTCTAATCATTACAATTTTATAAATTGGATTCAATATGAATATTATTATTTTAAAGATTCAGAAAATACTGAGAAAAGTTAAAAAAGTAAATGCTTATGAAAGTTACTGCTAACTAGTTGGAGCGCTGAGTTTTCCAGTATATCACATAGACTTGCATATGGCTAACCATATTTTTAGTGTTGGCAAATGATAAGCAATGAATATGAAAAATGTATTTTTTCACATATTAATGAAATTTTAGTTGAAATATCCAAAATTTCATGTGAGACATTTATTTAAAATGTTTTAGATTAGAAGAGGCACTGAGGTACTTCTAGGAAAACGAACAAACAAAAAGTTTATCCTGAACGACCCAACTAGTACATGGAAGAGGTGAGCTACACAAACATGAAATATAGATAATCACTATACATTATAAACTCCTCCTTACCTGTTATCATGTTCTAAATCAACCTGAGCGGAAGCACCCCTTGGACTATATGGTACAAAAATTGGATGGAAAAACAATTCTAATCTTCATGACTTCTTAGAATTTGAATTCTGTTTAGGAATTTCAAACCACAGAATTACCATGTTATGGAGGAACAAGGTTTATATAGCACTGTGATAACCCGTCATAGATCTCCCACTCTCTGGACTACTTGTCTTCCTTTTAGGAAACAAGGTAATATTTTCATTTATCTTTTCATTATTCTATATAACTTGTAATATTGTAAAACCTAATAACATTGTTCTAAAAAGTATTTTTAAAGAAACCAATGTCAGTGTACCTTAAGATTCTTTGAGAAATTGGTAACTAACTTAGCTACTGATTTATCTCCTTTTCAGTGCTTCTGAATACAACCAACATATAGACACTGGAAACTATTATAGTGTTCTATCTTATGATGAAATGCCACAATCTTATTTTAAGGATGAGCTCATCATAATGAGGTTTTTGGAAATCCACGGTACTGTGTATTTGATGTATGACCTCCTGAATCATTTTCTTCATCTGTTAATCAGACTCATGTACCTAACAAAATTGTTCCAGAGACTAGAGAAAGAATTTACAACATACCTAGCACAATGTCTGGCAATAGCAGTTGCTTAGTAACTACAACTATTTCTATGGTTCTCATTTATCAACATGCTAAAAGCATTTCTTTAACTTTTAGTTAACGTTTGCCCATGTTCCAATTTCTTTCATCCATGGAAAATAAAATCTTAAGTAAAATTGAGGTAAATGGCTATATATAATAAATTTATTTCAGAATTTATATTATAAAATTTAATATATATCTAATCTTATTTTAAAACGTACTCATTATGAAATGCTTCTAAAGTGAGTGTCATATGCCTCACCCTGTAAGAGTAAACAAACATATCTGAGATTCTTTAGTAGGAATGAGAAATTAATAACAAAATCAGGCAATGCAAATCTTAAGATAGAGAATAATTCCCGTGCATACACATTCTCTAGATGTGCATAGGTAGAGATCACCAGTAAATTTAACAGTTTGAGTCAAATAAAATCTTGCCCTTTAAGAATAATTAATTTCATATTTGTAGATCTACAGAGTAAAACACTGTTATATGTCAAAAAGGCATTAGAATAACTTTACTTCACTTTTCAGTTCTCTGTTTATCCACTGGAAAAGTTGAACTGATATGTGGTCAGCAAACCTGGGGGACTTATATGTAGTCACAGTATTAGAGATGGAGCTGGAGGGGGTCTTATTAATCAAATATTTTTAGTTAAACCTCTCTTTGGCTAGATATTCAAAGTGAGGTTCAGTGATGTTCAGTGACTTGCTCAAGGTTCAGCAGCCTGTCCCAGGCTGATCTGGGATCAGCAGGCCTCCTTGTACCCATCACAGTGTTATTTCTACCTGCTAATTCTTCCCCTTATGAGGGAGCCAGGCTCTTTTTGCCTCACCTGAAATCTGATTTCAAAATGATTTTGCATTTCTGATAGTGATTCTCTACAAGATTAAAGAAGAATTGTAAATAATGTGGCCTTATTAGTATAAGCATAACTTATTATTTTCACCACTGTATCTTCATGTCTAGAATGGTACCTGACACAGGGTAGCAAGTATTCATTGAATAAGTGAGTAAATTAATAAATAAATTAACCATTTATACATAGGGTCAATTATTCTACTAACTTGCTAAGCCCCAAAGGAACTTCCACAATTTAGAAACTAAGATTTTTCATTATGTTGTGTTAATTTCTCCTTATAAAAAACTCATCATATTCATATCCATGTGTTTCTCGGTGAATCTGCTTTTATCAGTCTTCATTTCCCTTTCCTAATTAACTGGTACAAAGATAAATAACACATAATTAACAAGGAAATATGTGATTTTAAGGAGAGTAAAACTATTATTGATTAGCTCCCTATCTATTTCACAGGACCAAGTAAACATGAAGTTCTTCCTTTTTACCTGCCTTTTGGCTGTTGCTCTTGCAAAGCATGTAAGTATAATAAGATATTTATGAGTATCTATTACCTGAATATAAGAATAGTGAATCTTTTATGCAGACAACGGCAGGGGTAGGCAGCAAGGAAGTGTGACGTTTAAAACCTATAATCAAAGATGACGTTGGCCTCACCTTACACAAGATATCAAGGTGGACAAAAATACTTTTTATAAAATGTTCTCCTTGTAGGGTTGGAAAGATTTTAGTCTTAGGTTAAAAGGCATACACTTTCTTCCATATCTGTTTGAATTTACTGGGAAACTATTTTCACTCCAAGAACCACTTCCTAAAAGTTAGAAACATATTAAACCATAACACGGACATCGTTCAAAGTTCGGGAGAGCGACAGGTAAAATGTAGATTCCCAAACCATCTCTCAAGCACATGTCAGAATTCCGTCATTCTTGACTACAGTACCTCAGCAGATATGATTCTTAGACAGGAAACAAGCATGTGTTGAAGAGTGCTAACTTTGAAAATTACTTGCCAAATAACCTAACACAAAGTCATCCCTTAACTTCTCAAAGCATCTTATTCTTCTAGTGAGAATGTAATAATAATATTCATATCACATGATGATAAAGAAGGACTAGATTCTTCATGTGAAGTGCTTCGAAGACACAGGCACACAATCTATTAACTTCCTCAGGAGTAACTCAGTTTTTCCCTTACCCTGCAGCCTGTGCTGCCAATCCCTCTCCCATACCCAGTGTCTCACTCCCTACAAATGCACTATATCATCAGGGTAACCAGAGTTCTTTGCCTCCTTTGCATTTCCATATCTCACATATCAATCTTGAAAGGTTTTTGTTATTAAGTTTACAGCCAATCCAAGAGCATAGCCAGAGTAAGAATTCTAGTTAGGCAAACAGAAAAATATAGTAATAATGCTTCAGTGATCAATCTTACACCAAGCTTCATTGTTTCTTTCTTCTGTTTATAATCTCCTAGTCTTAACTACTCTTCTCCCTTTCTCTCTAAATCAGTAATTGTCAGTATTTTCCTTAAGATTAATTAAATCTATCAATTAACATAAATGAAATAAAACAAAATGTGATGGTATTATAATATTTTAAGATTCTGTAGCACATCTGCACATACATCATATTATATTTTAAAATGTGACATGATTAATATCAAATACTGAAAAACCAAGAACCCAACACTTCCTAAAAGCAATAAATACATTAAGCTATAAAAAGGATTCATTTGAAGCACAGAATGATTTGCTTATTAATATTAGAGCATAGAATATTACAATAATAATAAAAAAATCAACTAACCACTACACATTTCCAGAAACAAATTTCTAAAAGTCTCTTGCCATCAAAACAAGAACAATAAAAACAAAACAAAATAAAAATAGTGAGATAGCTTGGCATTTAAAATCTACCATAAAACTGAAACTTGTATTTGTTTTTGTTTCTTTTATAGGAGATGGAACATGTCTCCTCCAGTGAGGTAAGACACTTTGGTGTCAACATAAAATCCTTTCACTTAGTAAAAACATAATATGCCCTAAACTCTTGTCGTTAAAATATTTTTTCACAAGTGAGTCTAGAACTACAGTCAGAGACAATTAGAAGTGAAGCCATAAAAAAAAAGTAGATATGGAGGAGTAAAGACCAAGAAATCTACACATTCAAATCACCAAGATTAGATTTGTGCATCTTTTCTGAAGACCTCTCAATATTAATGATGTTTGTTCACAAGTCGTGATGAACATTTTGTGAGTACAATGACAGGAATCCATTCTATGTTTCTGCAATGAGGACTCAAGCTTTTCTGGAACTATGTTAAATGCTGCTTTCCAAATGACTTCCTGGCCATAACAGATGCCGACAGACAACTTCAAGGTCACCTAAGCATTTTCTTGTTTTCTTGTGATGTATTTAATCTCTTTTAAAAAGACAAAACATGATAACAATAAAAAAAAAAAGAACATTGGAAATTGTACAGAGGAAATATTTTCTTTCTTCCCTGTGGCTGATATTTGGGAGAGATTTTGATTCAGTTATTCATAAACCAAAGCACAATGTGAAATTAGTTAGTTATCTGAAATATAATAATTATGTAGAGGGAGTGAAACTTTGGCTAACTTTGTTGTGTAATTCAGGTAAAAACTAATATGTTATCTACCCAATGGATAATGGTTGTAGATTGATATTGTATTAAGCTAGAATGAATTTAATTTAGGTAAATAAGTAATATTGTCTTTCTCTTTCTAAGGAATCTATCAACATATCCCAGGAAGTAAGTCCTAAATTCTTAAATTAAATATATTTTAACTTTCTTTTTTTAATCAAAGTTATAAAATAAATTTATTTAGTTCGTAGAAATATAAGCAGGGAAAGAATGTGGTCCTTCATCCCAGCAAGGTACATCCTGATTACTTTAGTCTGTTAATCTTCGATTGATGAGACTGCTTTTTCTATCAAACATGGGTCACTTTCTCATTCAGCCAAAAAGATTATTATTTTTAATTATGATTGTGAAAATGGTGATGTTTTCATTGTTTCGCCAAAATGCTATGGACTAATATGAAAAGAATTCCAGGAAAAGACTTGTGAGCCATTTTTGAGCCACAATTTTAAAGCAGAATATCTTAGAAAGAATTTCTTGTTAAAAGTTCATCACCTTTACTTTTCTTCCTTAATTCTGTACCCTTTTGTTCAAAAAATTATATTTTCTTTGCTATCACTTTATGCTCAAGAATATTACCCTGGATTTCAGTAAATGTTATATCCTTTTGGTTTTGTTTTCTTTTAGGAGAACATTTGTTTCACAACCTGTGAGGTATATATTGATTTCACATCAGTAGTACAATGTGAAGTAAAATATAGTATTAGAACCACATTGAAATTAACCTGGATTTGGAAAATATATTTCAAGTCAATCAAATTTGAAAACCAAGATTATCTTTAAAGAATGAGACCAAAAGTATACCATCTTCTCTTAATTCTATGACTAATTCAAATGAAGAAAATATATCTTCCCATGAATCAACTAATACATTTCATTCCCAGATTCTGTGAGGAATGAAGAACTTGTCTTTTAATGGTTTTCATTCTTGAAGTCTCAAACTTATTTTCTTCTTTTTAAAATTATTTTTCTATTGCAATATTTTCTTAAAATTGACTCAATCAATTTGTGTATCACAGAAACAATATATATTTACTTCCAAAGGCATGTTAGTTGGGTTAATGATTTATTTTTCCTAATACATAATAAAATAAGTAAGGACTATTACAATGAGAAAGAAAAGCTTATCCATGCCTTGCCTAAAATTATCTTGTGCATCCATTCATTCCCTTGACAAAGCATTTATTCAACAAGAACTATGTCCCCAACACTACCTTAGCCTCTAGGAGTACAATAATAAATATGATAGTCTCTGGAGATACAACAATAAATGCAATAAACAATGATAAATACCACTGGTTGTATGTTTATCACCAAATAGAAAATTCTACTATAATTCACACAAAACTCTTACAATGTATATTGGTGCTCTTTGACAGACATATCAGGTATCTGACTCCAGAGGAAAGTACATTTTAAATCAAGCCAGTGTCAAATCAAGAACCTATCATTCACCTTCAGTGTAGTTTTAGCCTGAAAAACCTCTCAATATTGCTTAGGGCAGTGTTTCTCAAAGCGCTACCTTTCAACTAGCAGCATCAGCATCACCTGGGCATGCTCATGCACTTTAAAATTTGAGAACCTCTTGTTTAAGCGGGGGTGAAAGAGGGAATGGTCACTAGTATAATAAAGGCATGCTGTGGTAGAAATATCCAAGCAATGAGCACAGTGGGAAAAAGTGTCTGGAAAGGAAGAAGCATAGCCATGGCCCGGAGCTTTGTGTCCTGAGGCATAGCCTGAAGACTTCCTACTTAGTGTCTAGGAAGTCTGCTTTACGGTTTCTCTAAGCTTCAGGTCTGTCTCAAATGGAGAGCCAATGGCGGCCTCTCATAAATAACAATTGTGTCCTGTAGAAAGGGTTTGCAGGATTTAGTTTGTCACACACCTCACTAGTCCTACTTTGTAATATTTTTGTCACCTGTCTACACTCCCTAGGCATCTGATATTGTATGAATAACATAGAATTGATGAAAACTTTAAAATGAAACATACTTTCAGTCATATGTTATTAATTTGACATAGAGTGAGGGCTCTCAGTAATTTATTTAATCTGTAATAAATAACATAATTTCTCAGTAATAGTAGCTTGGGCCATAAATATATTTAAGTAACTGCCCCTTCTACTCTAGTACAACTTTAAGGCTAAATCATGCAAGTTAAGTTAATTCTTCTTTTCTCCCCCTAAGGAACCTGCTGAAGTTCCCAGGGAGGTAAGTAATTTTCATTCAAATAAAATGGAATTCATATCACCCAGCCCTGTTTTCTTTTTGTGTATTTTTATAGCAAGTGCTTTTATTTTCTTAACAGAAAGTTAAGGTTACTGTGGAAGATAAGCAATACCTGAAACAACTGGTAAATTTCTCGTACAAATTATAATTTCAAGTAAACCATGATAGTATTGCTGTTTCTTCTCCCAAATGTTCACACAACTCATTCCATCCCAATGAGTTATTTACCCCCAATTTATAGTAAGTAATATATTTTTTGTTACTTTAATTTCCAGCTATTATCTTATCAAACTTGTGGATTTATAGTTTAAGAAAAATGAGTGTTGAGCAATTATCCAACTGATTTTGAAGGAATTACGAACTTTAGAAAATGTGTTTCAAGTTTAAATGGTGTGAGTGAGATACCAGTGTAGTTGAGGTGTCACATTTTTGTCCACTCAACTTTTCTTTGACAACAGTGTCATAGAAAGACATCGCAAGTGTAAAGGTTTCCAAGCCATATATAGGAGGTCGTGTAACCCATCCTCTGCGGATTAGAGAAGCTTGCTGTGTGCACAAGGAAAGAGCACCTGCTTTGGAGTTAGCAACTTGTATTCCAACCACAACTTCACAAATCATTACTTAACCTCTCCAAGCTACAGTTTCCTCAACTAAAAATGAAGATAGCTATATTGACCCTGAGGAATTACATTAGATGATATGTATTTCAATTATGCAAAAAATTGCTTGGAGCACAGTAGTTAGGTGCATCTAAAAAGAAGGTAACAATTATTGTTATCATATCCCTACACAGAGCAGACATACCTGCTAAAACCTTTAGAACAGAAGCAGTCTTTCTTGGAATACTTAAAAATTGGGACTCCCCAGATAAGACCTCTCTTTTTAGGAAATTCTGACTGCTAGAAAGGCCATTCTTAACTTTATCAAAATGCTTCTAGTAACATTTTCCTTTTGTACCACTCTTTTAAGGTAATTCTGAATTCATCCAATAATTATTCCCAGGCAATTCTAAAGACCAGTTGACATTCTACATGCCCATTTATTTTTAAATCTCTATGAAATTAAAATTCTCCTGAGTGAAGATGCCACTGTGGCTTTATATTTAGTCTCTAAAAAAATCATCAGAGTCAGATCAAAGGCTCTGGAATTTACTAGAATATTTATTGAGCCTGATAGATAGATAGATAGAAGATATATAGATAGATAGACATAGCAGGCACTATGAAAACTGCCATATATTTTAACAAATATAATCCTACATGGTAAATAATGCTCAGATAAATTAAGCAATATGAGCAGGGTCATGGATTCCAACACCCAGGATTAAGGGAATTAAAGTTCAGTTCTATCTGACTCCAAAGACCAGACTTCTTACATACATGGAAAAGAAAATGACAGACACTTACCTTCTAATTCAAGAAATGTTCCTTTCCTTTCTTATACATACCTTTGTTTTTTCCACATAGATATTGTTCTGGAGGCCTTAATAATCAGACAATTTCTTTAATTTTGCAATTTATTATAAATGTAGGAACAGTTACAATAAATGTTATGTTACTAAACTATTCTTGTTAGGTAAATTTGCCACCATTTATAAATTATCTAATTCAATAAAGTTCTAAGTAACTTGGTTCTTCCAAAATCTGCTTTTGACACAAGGAGGAAATTCAGCATTGGAGTAAATATTGATAATTTTCTTTCTCTCTAGAGCAAAATAAGTCAGTTTTATCAGAAGTTCCCCCAATATATCCAGGCTCTATATCAAGGTCCAACTCTTATGAACCCATGGGTTCAAGTTAAGAGAAGTGCTGAGCCCTTTATTCCCACTGTGGTGAGTGCTGCTTTTTTGTTTGTTGTTTGCTTGTTTGTTTTTCTTTTTGTTTTTGGTGAGGGATGAGATCAGGATAAATATATGTAAAATAGCTAGAGACAAAATGTCCCAATGAGTTGTAACTGAGAAAGCAGAACAAATGCAAATAAAATCTTGTAGTTCAGAAATTAAATAGCAAACAAAAAATAGCCCAAATGTAGTAACAAATAACAATAGTAACCATAGTGACAAATAAGAAATTTAATTTGAATTGTTCTAAGTGTATGTTCCTACATCATTTTGCTTGGCTCCTCAAACAAGTCTCTAATATATGAGGGGATAGTAATCATTAATTTCATGTAACAAAAATATTGTATTGTTAAGAAAATATGAGAAAGTGAAGTAACTTGCCCAAGGTCCAAGTACTGTCTACCATTTTGTTTCATAAAACAGTCTGTCTTAAGGAACTTTATCTCATATGAGGAATAAATAACAAAAGTTTTCCTGACCCTTTTTTTGGTTACAAAGCAGACAGCAGCTCTCTACCAGTGAGGTAAGGCATTTTCCTACAAAGTCAATACCCTGGTAACTAGCAAGATATTATACACTAGGGCTTCCCTGGTGGCGCAGCGGTTGAGAGTCCGCCTGCCGATGCAGGGGACGCGGGTCCGTGCCCCGGTCCGGGAAGATCCCACATGCCGTGGAGCAGCTGGGCCCGTGAGCCATGGCCGCTGAGCCTGTGTGTCCGGAGCCTGTGCTCCGCAACGGGAGAGGCCACAACAGTGAGAGGCCCGCATACCAAAAAAAAAAAAAAAGATATTATACACTTATTATACACTGTACTAGACAGTCTTTGGTGTAGTTTTTAAGCAATAAATCTAGATTTACATAATATAGGAAAATCGGATCTTCAGATCTCAAAGAAAAATCTGGGGAAGGCAGAACAAAAGTGTACACATCCAAGGATACAAAGATTAGATCTGTGCTAGTAGACCTTGCCAAAAATGTTAACACTACTTCTTTTTTAAAGGTCACCATTAATATTGCTATCACACCAGAAGACATGGTGTAGATATTACATTTTATAAACAGAGTGGGAGGAATCCAATGTATCATTCTGAAATAAGAACTCTAATTCATCCAGATCCATACAAAGTGCTGTTATCCAAACGTCTTCCAGCATATCACACATGATTAAATACATTTTCACGTTACACAAGAAATTGCCTAGTTTTTTTTTTTTTTCTTTTTTTTTGTGGTACACGGGCCTCTCACTGTTGTGGCCTCTCCCGTTGCGGAGCACAGGCTCCGGACGCGCAGGCTCAGCGGCCATGGCTCACGAGCCCAGCCGCTCCGCGGCATGTGGGATCTCCCCGGACTGGGGCACTAACCCGTGTCCCCTGCATCGGCAGGCGGACTCTCAACCTCTGCGCCTCCAGGGAAGTCCAAGAAATTGCCTAGTTTTATTCCTACTTAATAATGAATGAAAAAGTTCAGAAAAGAGAAATAATTTTACGAGTAAGATTAAATGCATCATTTCAATTTTTTTTAAGGAATCTGTCAGCTCCTCTCAGGAAATAAGTCAAAACCACTTATATTAAATATAGTTAAGAAATTACTTTTTAGTTTGTTATGGTTATAAAGTAAGTATTACTTATTTTGCATAAATATAAGCGGGAAACAATGTGGCTATGCATTCAGTCAGATAAAATATATTTATATATTTATTGGTTCATTGATGAGATATGTCATTCATCACTCACTTAAGAAATATGTATTTAGCAAGTATTATGTCCTTACATGATCTTAGATCTTTGGGATACAACAGCGATTGAAAACACAATAAAAATAAAATTAATTATTCTTCTTTATAAAAGAGGGGTTTTCTGCATATATTCAAGATGAAATTATGTATAACCAATACAGTGAGAATAAAATGTTTAATTCTTTTTAAAAATTTTTTTAAGGAAAATTCAAAGAAGACTGTTGATATGGTAAGGTATTATTTCTATATGAAACTATTTAATTCATATTTTCAAAAACTAATATGAATAGTTAGGTCTATCTGAAATGTTCTGCTTTTAATAAAATAGAGTTATATTTGTAAGTTACTTAAAAATATAATTTCTCTCCACTTTTTAATGTGTTTCTCTCAATTGCCCTGAATTCTTTCAATTAATCCTTCCATGTAAGCCAGACTTTCCACATAAGTTTTATATGGTTCCACTGCCTCTTTCTTTTTTTTAATCAAACTTTTACTATTTTTTGAACTAGAAATTTTACTTTTTCTTTTTTACCTTTCATACTAATATCCTTTTTGTAATATGAGAAATATCTTTAACTCCACAAATATCAAAAATATACTGCTAAGGATTCAATCATCCTGGTCCCCAGATTTTGATTACATTTCTATTTCTCAAGGAATCTTCTAGTAGCTCATATAGTGAGGAGAATGGTACTTTTAATATAAAACAATTAGTTTATTAAGAAATACTGTACTTTTCTGCTGTTAATTATTTTAAGTAAATTAGGTATTGATAATTTTTTAACAGAGCCACATCAAAATAGCCAGTAGACATAAAGAAAAACATGTGTAAGAAATATACACAGAGTCATTTTAGAGGTCTGAAATGACGAAGATACATAGCCAAGAGTAGCTGTTTTACCCCATGCTTTTGATAATGTTCAACTGGACTCTGGTTAATTGGTAATAGTAATTTTTAAAATAAGCCAAAGCCAAATCAACATCCTGTCAATTGCCTTCACCATAGTTCTACCCTGAGTCTCTCTCACTGTTTAAAGGGTTGAATACTGGATTGGGTTATGAGTTGTGTAAATCACAGGTTCAAGAACACTTGCTGTGTTACAATGAGCCAAATGTGTAAGCACAATGGGAAAACTTCCTGGGAGAGGAAGTTTTGGAGAGCATGGATTGTGGCCCACAGTCTTGTGGCCTGAGGCACAACCCAACATCTTCATCTTCACTGAAGGAGGAAGCATTCTTTACCCTTTCTCTCAAATTGGGGGTACCCAGGCACTAAAAAAAAGAAAACAATGATCTTCCCAGAAAGGGCATGCAGGCTCTGCCACATACCTCAACAGCCTGATTAGTTTTAGTTTTTCTCCTTTCTCTCTCTCTCTCTCTCTCCCCACCTTTGCATCTGCATATACTCCATGAGAATTTGACATTATATGAACAATATAGGTAAATGGAAAATTCAAAACATATTTTCAGTCAAATATCATATGGACACAGAGAATGCTCTGATAATGAATATTTAAACTCATTAAATCCATAATACATTCCTATAAAGTAGTACTTTGTTTTTTGGTAACAGTGGTTTTGCCTTGAATTATTAAAATAATTAGCTCTAGTTTTCTACTATAATGTTATAGACAAAATTACTCGTGAGCTATCTAAGTAAAGCTGATCCTCATTTTCTTTCCCTAAGGAATCAACTGAAGTACTCACTAAGGTAAGTAATTTCCATTCAAACAAAACTAATTACATATTATCCCATATTTTCTTTTGTATTTATCGCAGTTTATTTTTATTATTAACAGAAAACTACATTGACTGAAGAAGGAAAGAATTGCCTAAAATTTCTGGTAAATTTTCCATGCAAGCCTTTGTAGCACAACCAGTCTCAGCTTGGACACTGAACTGCGATCCTCTCAAAAACTAAAAAATAAAAACAAAAAAACAGTCTAATTTCTATAAAAGTCTTCCCTATACTTTGTCAAAACTATTACAAAAACATTCTCCCATTGTACTAATTGGATCATTGCCATGTATCCACCCAACCATTATTCCCCAGTTATTCTAAAAACCCATTGATATTTCATTTTGTAAAAACAGGAAATTATCCTGAAGGCAGATGTCACTGTGTTTAATTCCAATTTTAATCTCTATAATAATCTATAGTTGGACCTATATAGATGGTTCAAACTACAACACAGAGGAGAGGGATATTTATTAATAGGTGACAGGCACTATACCAAGTGCTCTCTCTATATTAATTCATTTACTTCTACAAGGTAAGTGACACTCAGAGATTAACAATTGACTCAGTGTCACAGATTCTTCTAAGATAAATCACACATTCTATATGACTCTCAGGACAAGGGTGTTTCCACGAGACATGGAAAAGAAGCCACAATCTGAGACACTTATTTAGTAAATTAAGAAATTATCCCCTTGCCTTCTTACACACACCTTTTTTTTCTTTTCTCTTTTTTTTCTGCTTAAGCATTTTGGCATTGGGGTCTGAAATAACCAAAGAATATTCTTAATCCTACAGTTTATTTTATGAATGTAAGCATAGAGTTAATTTTATATGAATAACCTCTCCTTTGCTTAAGTCTGTTTGGTATCATTTAGAATGTATCCAAATAAATAAAGCTTTAGTTTATTTGGTTATGTCCAAGAGTGCTCTGACGCATTGGATAACGGAAAAATTATATTTTTTTCTAGGACAAAATCAACCAATATTATCAGAAATTAACCTGGCCCCAGTATCTCAAGACTATTTCTCAGTATCAGAAAACTATGAAGCCGTGGAATCACGTTAAGACAAATGTTATCCCCTATCTGGTGAGTTCTCCCTTTTATTTTTAATTTTAAAAACCGAGTTATCTTTTATAGTAAAAATAAGATAGGGAAATTAAATTCCAACAAGCTCTCAAGTAGAAGCTGAAACAAAATTAAGTAAAAATTCTAGGCTGGAAATTAAATTAAATTAATCATATAGTACCAATATAGTTACAATAAGCAGAAATAATTATAATGATAAATTGTGTTTACATTGGATTTAAATTTCTTAAGTGTTTGCTTATAATATTTCAGTTTATTCCTACAGCAATTTTTCAAGGTGGGTCAGCATAGAGAATATGACTTCCATTTCACAAAAGTATCTGAAATTCCAAAAAGTAGCCTGACAAAGCTCTAATTAACATTTCTCCTTTATTTCATTTTTTTAAAAATGTGACTTAGGAAACTTTTTAAGCATTAGGAATAAGTGGGAGAGCAGGAAATTGCACCCAGAGAACTGACAGTTTAACATAAAAATATAGGATTGGAATCAGAAGCCCTGACATAAATAAGCTTTTGACTTTGGTCAAGTCACTTCATTTTTTCAGGATTTTTAAAATATGATTTAATTTATTAGATATACATGTAGCATTTAAAGATATCTGTCCCATGATTAGAGGAAATAAGAATTTAGCATCTGTAGTTTGAATATGAGATGCCAAAATGATGCTCTAAATATTTCCATGGGGTGGTAAATTTTTTTTTTGTTTTTTATTATAAGCACATAGCTAAAATATATTATTCCTTTCTCTTTTAAAGAGATACCTTTAAGATTCTTGAATTAACTGCTTCCACTTGATTATGGTAAGTATCTTTAGGCTTATAATTTAAACAATAAAGAGGATTTTTGTGTGAAGAATGCATAATGTTAATAGAGTTTCAACTTTAATTAAGTCATACTTAGTTTATGAAATATTTTAAATTTTGCTTACACCTTTTTGATTCACAAATGTAAGTGATCTGTGTATTTGCATGCATTTTATAAATATTTTGAAAATAAATTATAGGAAAGTTTCTCTATAGCTGATAACACATTCAGCCAGAAGCAACAGCTCTGGGTGGAAATTGTCACAAGCTTAATGGTCACAGGGATGTTAACTTATCACCTTTGAGTTCAGACTCAGAATTTCAGTTTGGTGGAAGAGAGTTTTCCTACACAAGCTAGTTTAAAACAAATTCTCTGCATTATTTTCTCTGGAAAAATCACCACTGTTTTAAATACACAAAATCTACTTTTCTTAGTGTCTCTTTTTGACATTTTAACCATTGCTTTAAAGCCATGATGAAGGGCCAAGGAAACGAATAAACATCAGTGTTGCTTTTTTGTGCAGTCACCTTTTCTTTTTCTTACGTTGTCCTTGCAGTATATAGGTCATCTCCAATCTTGGAATTCTGTCTCACTCAAGTTATCTTCTTGTTCCTTTTATATGTCCTGCAATGAGACAAAGTAGGTTTCAGAGAAATTAGTAATAACAGTGGTAGTAATTTATTGAGGCCTTACAATGCTAGTCACAATTCTAAGCCCTTTGCCTATATTAAAAAATTTCATATTCACAAAAAACCAAGGAGGTGGTTAATATTATCAGCCAATTTAAGATAAGGAAACTGAGGCCCATGGAAGTTAAAAAAACTTGTTCATAATCACCCTGCAAAAGTGGAAGAGCCAAGACTCTAACACAGATTTCCAGCTCTAGGACTCCAACACACAACTACTGATGCCAAACTACACCTAAAGTCCACCTAGGGGATTTTTTGGCTTTAAGTACATTGTCACAAACATGATTTGCTTTGTCATGTCATTTTGGCTCTCCAAATGATGAAAAGGGATCAGACAACTTCAAAAAATGATTTTATGTGAGAAAAATAATAACTATTGTGAATAAGAGCTGAAATCACAGCTGTATTTTATAAATAGCAATATTTCCATTGCTATAGTTATTTATACATTTATTTTACACTTTTAAAAAGCTGATCACGTATTCTATACTGTGAGAGACATGAGGGAGACAGAAATAAGGTACCAAACTTATCCTCATTAAGCTCTATTCTAGACAAAGATACAGGAATGGCAATATGAGGTGCCAGATGCTAAATTAGAGGCATGAGAAGTAGCTGGTAGTACAAAAAGGTCGTGATGCATCAGACTTAAGTCATAAACTAAGTCTTTCAGATAATTAGAACTAGACTAGGCAAAGCAATGGCAGAGAAAAAACAAAGTCAAAAGGTATTGAATTGGCAGAAAAATTACAAAAGAAATAGAGAAACAAAAAAATGCACATAGATTTTAAAGATTTTAATAATTTTAAGCAATTTCTTAAAGTATCAACCCAAGGTCATTTTGCATAATGATTTTTTTCCCTAAAACCTAGATTTCAATTAGATAAAAGGGTTTTAAATGTAGAAAGCATTTTATGTCTAATAAACTATTTAGAAAATAAGAATAAATTTTCCTTCAAAATTGGCTAAAAATGTAAATATTTACCACTTAATGAATAAATATAAATATTACTTTTATATGCAGGATTGAAGAACCTGGCTATCAATTTTCACTCATTCATTAAATTGCTCCACAAATAGTTATTAAAACCTTACTATGGGGCTTCCCTGGTGGCTCAGTGGTTGACAGTCCACCTGCCGATGCAGGGGACACGGGTTCGTGCCCTGGTCCGGGAAGATCCCACATGTCGCGAAGTGGCTGGGCCCATGAGCCATGGCCGCTGAGCCTGCGCGTCCGGAGCCTGTGCTCCGCAACGGGAGAGGCCACAACAGTGAAAGGCCCGCGTACCGCAAAAACAAACAAACAAACAAACAAACAAAAACCTACTATGTGCTAGGTATCATGTTGGACACTAAAATATATTAACTAATAATCATTATAAATAACAACATTCTGCTAGAATAGGATGGATGGGTGTGTGTTCTGTATACAAGCATACATTGTTTCTTGAATATAAATCTAATAGATAATATAGTATTATCTTTTTCTTTTTAGGCTTGCCTGGAAAATCTATCTTCTACATTTTCTTATCTACCACTTCACTTCATACTACCAACATGTTTGGAGAGGCCCACTAATAAGACAGAAATGTTGAGGGAAAGGATGACTGTGCAGAATATTTCCTGAATTATTTATATTCTTCCTTTAGTTCATGTTGAATATACTGGGTTTGTATGGTGGTTTCATAAAACTTAGCTGATGATTATTTAAAATCCTTTCCCTACTCTTTCTGAGTTGCAGAACTACATTTCTTTTCCTCTGAAAATAAAATTTCAAGTGCATTCTTTGGTGTGTAATCATCATTTCCATTGTTCATACTGGCCCACTAGGCTATGGATGATAATATAAACAGTCCTTTAACAATCACTTTAAACCAGCTTGATTACCACCAAAATAACTGTACACTTTCTGGGTAATGCAATTTTACTTCTCATAATGGATAACCTTGAACACTACAAATTATATTCTCCAAACACAGCTAGGTTTACAGTACTATTCAACCATTGTTTTACCAATTTTTGATTTATTTGTGCTCATAATCTGCCACAGCATTAATCCCAAATCTTCACCAGATCCCTCAATCCTCCTCTCCTGGGTCACATTGTCACACTAAAGTAGGGAGTCAGGCATTGAGAACATAAACCTTCCAAGGCCCCCCATTAATGGTATCAACAAATGGAGAAACAGGAAAAGCAAATAAGTGGATTCATGCATGGAATGTAAGGGAAAACTCTAAGGGGGTGACACGTCCAAGAAGACAAAAGGATAGGGAAAGATAAAAGAAAGTGGATTTAGGAGGAAGGGATAAAGATGAAAATTATTTGAGCTTAGAAATTTGTGTTAAGCATCTGCTTATGATGGGAAGACATTGGAGGAGTTTTCACAGGGGAGTGAAAGTTTTCACAGGGGAGTGAAGGTACATGATATGTACCTTTGGTGAAAAGATTTGAAAATTGGAGACTTTTTCTTAGACACGGTAGAATACTCCAATCCTTTAACCCTCTCATTGTATTCCATTCTGTCCAAGCCCTCTTAGGCTCGCTTCTTATTCAAGCTGAACACTGAAGTGTTTTTCAGAAGGAGGTAACATATGCCATATATTTTGAAAGGGTAAGAGGTAGAAGCTAAGATAATTTTTCTTTGCCTTCGTAGAACACTCCATCCCTTTTATCTTTGTCTTCGTAGAACACTCCATCCCTTAACACTCTTATTACATTCCATTTTCTCTATTTCTTATTCGCCTCACTTCCTTTCTTGCACAGCTCAGAATTCACCCTTGATTTTTTAAAATATCATCTTGATAACTCATGTAACTCTTTGCACCTCTGTACTTAATCCTACTGGAAAACACCCAACCAGGAACTAAATTTCTATTGCCACTCCATGCAAGGAGCTGAGCACTAAAGTAAGTTTGTTTTTTAACACTGTTGGTCACCAAAGACTACTTATCAAACTTTTTCTTGTTGGCATTAGAGTTAGCAGCCTTCTTCAACACTCCCTGGAAAAAATCTCACTGGAAAAATATTTGCCTTTCTACTTTATTGACAAGTATTTTGTCCATCAAGCCTAAACACTATCCACCTCCCTAGTATGACACTTCAATAACTTGATCTAACTCTGAACGTAACTTTAACTGTCTCCTTCAAGTCTCAAAGGATGTGGTGATCTTCCTCTAGTTCAAAGCTAACAGCTCTTTTGGTGCTTTTTAAAATTTACTCTGTGGGCTTTCCTGGTGGCGCAGTGGTTGAGAGTCCACCTGCCGACGCAGGGGACACGGGATCGTGCCCCGGTCCTGGAGGATACCACATGCCACGGAGCGGCTGGGCCCGTGAGCCATGGCCGGTGAGCCTGTGCGTCTAGAGCCTGCGCGTCCAGAGCCTGTGCTCCGAAATGGGAGAGACCACAACAGCGAGAGGCCTGCGTACCACAAAAAAAAAAAAATTTCCTCTGTAATCTATCCTTTTCAATGATGTTCAGTGGGGCAAAGTAATAATGATGATTATCA